TTTATTCTGAGAATGCATTCTACATCATCCAATAAAATGCACAATGCCTGCACGAAACTGCGAGTTGTCTACCTAATCATCTGACAAATACTGGTGCCTCACTACTACATTCCGAACAAGAGTTATACAGAGTCTAAGCAAATGACATAAATACACCTGTGGTTAGAACGGTTGTCTCGGCAACTGAACAAACGGTTCAAAACAACAAAAGGAATAGCACTTTTAAGGTCATGGTTGCTGTGGCGAAAATGATAGGACACTTCAACAAAGGGTGGTACTTCAATACTGCACATTATGTATGTATCACCCAATTCGCGGAGTTTTGCAACATAGTTCTATCATTCTTTGAGGTTTCATTTTCCGAGGAAAGTTGACGAGTGAGAAAGAGCTCTTCTACATATTTGGCCTGTACCGAAAACTCATCGCGTTAGACGTGTACTTGCAAGGACTACTGATTGGTCAACTGCAGGCATACAACGCGGTCTTTGTCCATACAACACAATAGCATATCAATATATCAATATATATATATATATATATATATATTCACATAACCTAGCAAAGAAATTCTATAGGCTGGTTGTCTTTCTTCCTGTAACGGAGCCCCCAGTGAAAAGCAAATAGACAGCTTCATAGCACAGAAATACTTCATTTCAAGATGTCAACTCATTAGGAGTGAAACCGTGAATGAACAATCCATTTCTTTTTATCACCGCCAATGTAGAAGCAGCTCGTTAATAGGGGCTGTTTCAAAGTCGCAATGATAAGGCCTATCAAGCACACTCCAGAGGGAGGATACATAAGGCATATGAGTTTTCAGCCAACTATTAAGGACTGGAATCCAACCGTGATCACCGGTAGCTACCTCACTCTATTCGGCAGCATAGCGCTGCAGACAGTGCTGCAGGGACACGTGTGTTCTGAATTGACACACTGAAATTAGAACATTTGTTTCTATTAACCATTCAGGATTCAGATGTAAATGTCCGTTCTGACGACGTTCCTTCACCGCCTTATATTCTGTTCCCTTACGGTAAGAAAAAGACGATTGTCTACCCTCAAAGTTGCTTTACGATTCGTGAGGTGGGAACTTGCATTAGAACATGATTCTAGCAATTCATGCCACCAAAAATTCTCACTAAGAAGATGAACGACAGGTAAATCAGGGTTCGTAAAACTTGATAAAAGCTGGCAGTAGAGGGACAAAGGTTTAATAGCTCAGTTCTACAGTTTGGCATGATAAACTTCCATGCTGCAACCAATAAAATCTTTCGAACAACAAAAAATATGCATGACAGATGACTTTCACTTGTTGGTAAACCGTTGTCTAATTCAGGTTGATGAATTTCATCTACAGGATGCTAGGAGTAAAAAAGTTGTTTCTTCTGTGTTCATCATTAAGGAAGAGAAACAATTATCCGAGAGGCTTATGGACGAGAAAGCACCCTAATCAGAATAAATTCATCATAACTAAAGTTCAAAGCTCAGAGTAGGGGGCGAACGGAAACACGGGAAGAAACACGTCATCGTTATCATCTGTCAAGCGGCAGGAATAGCCGGCTTTACTGACTAGCAGGATTTACAGTGCCATGAAACATTAATGGACATTCGGCCTGGCAATAACTGAAGTTTGGCTAAATACTTTTGAGTAACGCTGCAAATGTGGCTGAACACTTAAAGACCGAAATAGGAGTATCCGATAACACCCGAGATGTTCGACACAAGAATACCCAAGAAATCGTGCGGGATTCTTTATTCATACTGACTTCAGAAAAAAGCCGGATCAGTAAATTCAGAATCTGGAACAATCAATACTCTCGAGGGATAACATTAAGGAGAAAATCAGCCTTTGATCTAGAGGCCGAAAGTCAGGTGATCGGTGATGCGGACTTTTTAAGCCAGCAGACGCTCTAAGAAGACTACGGAACTAGAAATCAAACGCATTCCCCTTGGCGTTATTAAACAACAACCCAGTGACTTCCCAGTCTGAATATGAACGGCCCTATGTTCATCATATTTTGGCTTTATAACCTGTATTTTGGAACGAACTACACGAATTTCTGATAGCTTCCAAAGCACTCGGAGTTGTATCGGATAGCCACACGTCTTTCTAATTTTAATACGTGGGAAACCTAAGTTTTGTGCACAAAGATAAAACGGATGCCCAAATGGAAACGCACTGACAAATCAGATTCTAAGCGGCACGTGATCAAGCCAAAAAAAGTCGGTCGATAAGACCCATATTGTATGCACGAGGACAGTGACATGGTTGGCGGCTGGTCGGGCATCGTATGTTCGTCCACAGACGCGCAAACAATTGACGGTAACGCGGGCCAGCTAATTTACATTGCTGACATTCAAGAGACCAGGTGGCGTAATGAAGCTTGTATTGATATCACGTGAGACGTGGTTGTGGACGGTCGGCAGTATCCCTGCTAATGAAATATTGGGGAGAAACAATGGCGTGATGAACCGTTTTACGAAATCTACCTTATCTTATCTCTTTATCGTGCTAAGTAGACCAAAACTCATTTACACGCCAAAAATAGAGACTATATTTTGTTAATTCAGCTTTACAACGGTTTATGTAAGCCCGTTTTCCATTCCTCCAAAAGATTTCGCACCTTACCAGTTACTTCTCGTTTGCTAACGCACCTTCCTGATAGAGCTTTGTGTGAAAGGATAAAGTGATCTGGAAAAATCAATATTCAATCCACTGTCACACAAAGGGTTTTATTCAGCAAGAGTAACGCGACTGACCCATTCGATTGACTTTGTACGGCCACGTGGCATACACACAGTGTTATTTCAGAGTCATGCTAAAATGTACGTCGAAAGTGAAATTTTCCGTCATTCGGTGCAGTGGAACTGTAGATCAGCATACAGATTATAATAGACACACAATGGCAATGATGACCTGAATTGTCAAACAGCGGGTGGATAAGTGGTAACGAAACAGGATGCATACGATCAGGAACATCCTGCCATTTAATCTGTCTGTAACAACACAAAATATTCTGGCAGTTTGTGATAGTAACAGTATACTAGGCGAACCCAAAAGAATCTGAATAGCGAACAGAACTGAGTACAACCTTTCGGTGAGAATGGCGAATGGTTGTTACTCAAGTTGGAGAGCTATATTCATGTAGATTGCAGTCAGTTAGACTAACTGAATGAATTTACTGAAAAGTGGTTGGTACATCTATGGAGCCACTGGAAGTAATCCACATTCCTCGATCTGATCTTGTTCCCACACTCATACTAGGGGGTTGTAACCTTCCCAGGAAGGTGACCTAAACTCAGAAGATACTATCCGATAGACTGGAAACTCATGAAGTTGGAGAAATTAAAGAGCTAAAGGCGCATGTTCGGTTCTTCGAACCTGCTCTGAGACATTTATTCAAGCTTCGTAGAGCTCATTCAAATGGATTCCGGTATTTTCATTGGGTTGCGTGGCCAGCATGCTCTAAAGAGAGATTATAGCTAAACAACGTTTTATATGGAATCTTTTGAGGGACAAAATACGATCAAAGATAAGGATACAGTGGCTCCCAGGGTGGAATTGGAAAGATGAAATATGAAAGGACAGTGTATCATTAACGCATTTGACACGTTTTAGAGCTTACACTTCCCATACGAGAAGTCGCAATCCATGTTCATCACTAATAGCGTTTTAGGTTTGTGGTTCCCACATAAGTCACACTATCCGGCGCTGAAATCTCAGCAAGCTAACGGAAGACACGGTGTACGGCAATCGACGCAAGTATCACCTGCGCATTATTACAATGCAAGCCGTTGAATTAAACTACACCCATACAACATCCACATTTCAATGTGAACACCAAGGTCTTAGAGCTACACTCCCTTGCCTCTTCAAAAACCTAGAAACCCAAGTAATTTTAGTGCAAACGAGAAAGTTTCGTCCTTCACTAGAGTACTGTGAATTTTGCTGAACAGCTGTAGTGAGATTCATAAATAGAACCGTGTTGGCGGGAGGTGAAACATTCGAACCACCTAGCAGAAAACTAATCAGCTGGCGGATTTTTGAAAAGTAGATACATGCTAAGTTTTTGCAACCATTCGCCTAAGTAAAGGAGAGTCTGAGAGCTGTAACAGGGTAGTGGGACAGAAATTCCCAGCTGTTCATTACCAGAAAACAACCGTCTGTGTACAAATCTTTCCAAAAACCAAGTACAGACAAAAGCTCTTGGTTCCGTGAGAATATTATTCTGATGTGCCGGGGTGGTAAACGGGGCCTTGAGGTGGTGACTCATGCAAGCGAAAACCTCTTCCGAGGTATGAAAGATAAAATGACTGGTAGAAAAAATGAAGTCAGAGAAGGAATATGAGAACAAAAGGCGGTGACATTGGTAATGGAGCACCAAAGGGCGACAAACTGGACAGTCAACCCAGTCAAGCGAAAAAGTATAACCAAAATGTAACGCGGTTTTAATTTGAATGTAGTGTATCTGAGTTCACTCAGAAGTATTGGGCGTTGCTGTAGTGTGAGCCAGTTCAAGCGTCCCAAGCTTTGGGCTTTCAAATCATACGGTGGTCCTTGAAAACGAATCAAGTTTGAACCTGTTCTCAGGGATTGGTAGGGATGCTATGGCCTCTGTGAGAAAATGACCTTTGTTGTCCTTGCCTAAAGGCGTCGTCAGGAGTTACAAACAACACTAGTTGCATAAACCAGCTTCTTTACACCACTGAACTTTTACATATAGAGGGTGATTGGGAAGTGCTGTGAATTTCTTGTGTTAGTGAACGCCTACAGTCCATCGAATGTTAATGGATCGATCGTCTGTACAGTCAACCAGTCCAGTGAAACAATATCTCCAATTTCAGGCGGTTCACAGAGCTTAACTCCAAGGATGCCATTTTCTAGTTCGCGATCCAGCAGCGCAAATGTGGAATTGGGTGAGGAAAGTACGTAAACGTACGTAAACGTGTTTGGAGAAAAGCAACAGTTATGTGGTGGTCAAATAAAATCCAACACTCACCGCCTTATTCGACTCACAGGATGGTCCGGAAATCCATAAGTCATAGCGATCACCGACGTGCACACATGTATCAGGTTTCAACGGTTGCAGGGTGGCTTTCAGGAATTCCATACATTTTCGCCTATCTAGGACGGCTCGAGCCTCCACAAATGAGATGTTCAAATTGTTCTGATCGTGGAACACGGCTCCACCACCCGACTGCCGACGAGCTAAAGGCCATCGTCGTTCCCGGAGAAGGCTGACATTGCACTATTTCCATGGGCTCTGAAACCGGCCGATCACAACGCAGGGATCACTCTTCCACAAGAGTATGTCTGTTGGGGGAACCATTCCGTCTGTGGCAAGTTTGAAACGGGAGGAATCGAGATATAAACAGGTTTCAAACGCCAAGTTCCGAAAAATATCACCGGATCGAAGAAGGAAAATACGACTGGGTGCTTTTGAAACATCCTTGTAGAACCTCATTTAGTAGGAACCGACATAAACAAGGTTTTGGTCTGGAGAATTAGATCAGAGCGACCATCTGAAATAAGAGAAAATAGTATGCTTGTCAAATGAATCAAAAAGGGGAATTGGGACGGAGTGGGTTTCAAATCGCATGGGAGCTTTTCCCGATATGAAATTTCCCCCAACACTGATTTTCGGTTGCCCTTTTGAAACCAGGAGCCACGTCCTGACACTGGCTGTTGGTTTGCTCGCCGATTTTTGAAAACGCTGCGTCTCCAGTGTGTGCTGGCCGTTCTGCCATCAACAGTCTGCTTAGCTGTCCACTGATCTGCCCTTTATGATGTGTTTGCATTATATGCACAGATTCCAGCCTAAAAAGAACCAAAGAACAGAAGTTTCAGGAATTTTATGCTTTCATCTTTTATTTGTGAGACCTGTACTGTCACTGTTTCCCGTGAAAACGGATGGGCTACAATGATATCGAAGAATGCGGCAGCTCAGGTCGCGTCTGAAAATATAGGTCTCCACTTCAAGGTACGAGTTTACTACTGAGAACTGGTCGGCCCAAACGTTCCACATCTACTTTGACTCAGGTTTCCAGCCGACCACCCTAGCTTCTCACATCTATTGCCGCTTCACTATTGGGTTCAGGACAGCACAAAGTAACGACTAATTCTCCCTGTGCTTGGACATCTACACAGTAAAAGCCGTGTGAAATTAAACATGAATGTTGCAGTAAACATATTAGGCAATCGACCAAAAGTTCGCTGAGGGGGACTGCCTTAGTTCCGCATATCGACGCGACGGACAATGAACCCAGTGATATGCGTGAAAAAAATTTTACGAGTAAGTATTGTTATTGGTTCTGTACCCATACCAATTTTTTTCGCAGCTCGCATATCGACGCGACGGACAATGAACCCAAAGTGATATGCGTGAAAAAATTTTACGAGTAGGTATTGTTATTGGTTCTGTATCCATACCAATTTTTTTCGCAACCGTGTAGAAAACAACCCATTATTATGTGATTTTTTTTGTTTTATCGATGTTTAAATAGTGTAAAATAAGGTGGGAGCATTGCAACATGAGGTATCCGTAGTGAGTTCGACATTTCGGTGAGAAAGTCAACAACATCAAGAAGAAATACCAACAGGTGGAGTAGAATTGGACAAATAGGGGAGGAAACCTCGAATCATACAAATTTTTTCATAAAGCCAGCATATCTATAAGTGGGGAATTCTAGGATCATGATTGTTTATCATATCCAACAAGGAAATGAGAGAGGGAATGGTGAAAGGAGACAGGCGATCCCACTGGAATCCCACTATTAACGACTTGAACCTGTGGATTAAGTATTGATGTCAAACCTGTCTTCATCAATTAAGCATGTTTTTTATTCTTTACGCTTGACAACCTGATAAAAATCCGTGAATATTTTCCGTTTTTTTAATGGTCAAAATTGACAGCTCATCGTGGGGTCACACAGGGCCAATGAACTCAAATGGCTGGCTGACCGCTACCAATAAGTCGAACATTGCCAATACCTAGAAGTTGAATACATTTTTACTCTTTCCTACGGAGTTGTGAAGAGTTTAGTCAGCAACCTCCTACCTGCCTGTTACAGAGATATGGAAGTCACTTTGAAAGGAACGTTTGCGTGACAACTTGGGAGAAATGTGTAGGTACCAAGGGAATGTCGATATATGAGAAAATTGAAAGTAAATTGAGCCGGTGAATATAATTGTAAGGTGAAGCAGAAAGGTTTATCACTTTTCGAAAAGAGAACAGACAGAATCGACTGCCTTAGGGTAAGTCGGCTAACCTATCATTACCGAGGTCATCAACACAACTTGGAAGATCAGCAGATACCTATGGAAATGTCTCGTATTTACAGCAGTAGAGGTAAAGCAACCCAGAGGCTACTGAAAAGGTTCGGATGACAAGTAACTTAGGCGGGCGACTCGAGCGAGACAAAGTGGCTCTGGATGTTCCCAATGATAATGGGTATGAATGACAGCAAACCAAGCTAATCCTTCCTTTAGAAGCTTGCAACCTGCTGCGGCAAGTTAGCCGTCTGACAGGTATTTGTTCATTCATATCTGTTGGGACACAACTGTTGACCCTGGACGATCTAACAGTAGCACTAATCGCTTATATGGGCGAAATAACACTACAGTTTACGGAGGGGAAATAACTCACAAGTATCGCCCGGTGCGCACCAATATTGATAAAGTTCCCTATTCACTAGTAAAGGCCCTCTGGTTTGTTGCCTCCCCATTTGCTTTTATTAACGGATCAAGGTAATTCAGCATTCCAATGCGCCAGTATATGAGCAGCAGGAGTGTGAGTGTATCTTGACGTGGGAATTCCACCAAAGTATTTGTATCCAACGATGACTGAACTCAGTCTACAGTGTTACTAACGCACCTCCATGGCAAATTACATTCCATATTGTCTATAAAAGCATATGGAACCCAGAATTAACAGGAAAAAAAGTGGACCGATATGAGCTGACACCCGAGAGTTGAATAATGCTCAAGAAGTCTAATCTAAGTGATAACCATTGTGACACTGCGTCGCTTAGACTGACCCAGCAGATAAGGAACCACATTCTGAGCGTTTGGGATGACCAATCGCACACCTGTTCCCACAAAGCTTACAAACTCTATCCATTGGTAAACAAAAAGAAAGCCACGGTACACCCAAGTGGAGCATCGCTGACTTCGTTGTCTCATCTTACTGAACTGACAACCCGGGCAACGTTTGGACTCGCCGGAGTTTTTCATGTACGTGACAATAATATAACGAAAAACATTCACTGGGATGGTCGGAACGTATCAGTTCACTACCATATCGACAGGACATCGCATAATGTCATCAAAGCAACAGGGAATGTTATCAGTTTGTCGCCCTAAGAGTCAGCACATAATCTTTTGAAAGTTTATTTTCTAATTGGATTATAAACTTGACAGAAGGCGAGATGAACCAAGTGGTTAGAGCGCGAATTTACTGACGGAAAAGTCCGTGGTTCGAACCCGACCTCCACCTCTCAGCTTCCTCTGTCTAGGCTTGGGCAACCTGACAGTATCCCAGCCCTCGTGCCTCCATCGTGTGGCATGGCACCTAGGCACCGAAAGGGTGCTACAGCTGAACGGTTATATTGTTATTTATTATAAACTTGACAGCACGGATACAGCCGTTTAGCCGCCACTCGCATGAATCTAGGTGACAGACATTTATGTTGAAGGAGGTAGCAAGCCACATATTTGTATAATCAACTTATTGAAACAATATGGTGTACTGAAGTGCGACCAACGAAGTATCCTTGTACTAGTAAAAATCAGCTGATGCCCCGGTATTGGTCGATTCCATACTGCACATAAATCGACCTATATCTAGGAAACATGCATCGGTGCATTTCCCGTACTATTACTATCCACAAGAAAATTGAACGTGACAATGAGTCGACGATACCTAGTCGCTACAGATATTAACATTCATATCGTTGGCGGCATCAACGATGAGAATAATAGCTGGTAACTAGTAGGATCGCCAGCTTGTTGCGGATTCCGACTGTCAGTGCACAACCTACACTCAGTCACGTTACCCGCGTTTGGCGCGCACGATGTCACGTGTCAGTAACACAGTGGACTAGAAATCATAAGCTTGCAGATGTAGTCCGATTCACGGACAACATATCTCCCCTTAAACTGGCTGTGATACAAAATCGACTGTCAAATGCAGTGCAAGCTCATGCATAGGAGTGGTGGGCAACTGAAAACAGTCAGTGCTTGCTTACGTTACGGAGCGACCTGGTGGTAAGAATTATTTTACCGCCTCTGCACTCAAGCTAGCATCGTTTGTAAAAAACGTCTTGAAAAGCCCAAAGACCGTTTGTGTACGTAACATTCGGAGTTCTCCTAGATGTTTGGTGTGGAAAAGCCTTTATGGCGCTTGCAGACTGATCAAGGCCGCCTGGATTATCAACCGGTCAAAGTGCGAATGATAACACGGACCGAACTTCTCAGTTAGGGCATTATACATCTTCATCACACGCAAGAAGGAAGCGACAAGAAATTAAAGAAAAACGTTAATGTAATTACGTACCGCAACAAACACCCTTCATGTACCACCATCGAAAGACGACCGTAAACGAAGTTTAGGTCACAACATGTTCAAGCTTCAAGAAGGCTTGGCAGTCAGCCCGTCAACATATCTTAGATGTATGAGTTCATTTGTGGAACGGAATCCATATTCGGAATTTCAACATCTACACACTGTCTACACAGTTTTGTGCAATTGAAATACCAACAGGAGTACTACAGCATTTTTCAGTGTGGCAGGCGCTTTTCACAATATTCCATCAGGCATTTGTTTTTGTTTTGTTTGTTGCTGAGTTGTTTTGTTTGTGAAGTGAACCGCCTGTTCAACTAGCTGAAAGCCAAACCGAATCCCCCACGTCACTGGAGTTGTAGCCTATAAGAGCTTACAGCATCTTTCCTCCGGCCCTCTTCATTCGCTCCAGCGTGGTGGCTTAGAGGCAGGGCAATATGCTCACACTACTCTTCACCTCCCGTAAAAAAGGGGATCTTCATCTGAAATAACTTGTTTGGATCCCACCACTGCATAAAATTGAATGAAATCCTGCTGTGTCTGTAAAGCAAGAAGTTAACTGCAATCTGGGGAAGCCATCTGCAGGAGAGATCGGTCCCAGAATCGATCTCTAGTGGTTGGCCCTACTAGTGTATTTCAACAGCAAAGCCCTCCCTTCAGAAGAAACTACTCAGTCAGTTCCATCAAGAGACAACTCTGCTGGAAACCCTTATGAAGCAACGAATAGCCATGAAGTTGTCCACCGGGAACTTAGCAATTACCTGGCATGTGCTGTAAGCCTTCTAAGAAAGTCACGGGTGTCAGGGCATCGGCAGATGATAGTGTTTTTCTCACACCGTCCAACGAAATTTCGGTGGGTTGAATGGTTGACAACATTGTAGCGACTAGCCTATCGATTGGTGAAAAACAGTCACCACTACTGCAGTAACACCCCTGAGAGTTGAACACACTTGGAATTTAGACAGCCACAGTAGGTGATATTCAGAAATTATTGGAATATGCTCGAAGATATCCGTTTTATTGTTTAAGTTAGACCTGGAGTGCGGTTTCGGGTGTTTTTTTAATCAGTCCGGTTTGTATGTGGCGTTCCAATAAGAATTCAGGACTTTATCCAGCCTGTCTGTGTTGCGCTGCAATCTGATGGCAAGGTGTACCTCTGCATAGT